GGAAGACTGTTGGTGAAGGAAGCAAGCAGACCTTTTTTGTAGCTGTAGTACTGAAAATCATGGAAATAAATGCTATGTATTTATTTCTCTGTTTACTGTGTTTGAGACAGTTTGCAGCAGAAAATACACAGTTAATGAAATGATGGTTGAAGTGCAAACCTGACCCAACTGAGCAGTTAAGAATCCTCTAAACTCTGGTTTTATTAACTGATGAAGAAAGCTAAAGGCATGAATGAAAAAAATGAGTTGGCTGTGGATTTCAGTGTATGAGGAATGAAATTATTCTAGCTTTGGCATGGGCCTATGTCCAAAGCTAAACAATATTATCAGTGGTAATGCAAATAAACTTCTAATAAATACTAGTGCTCTGTAGCTTAAAAAGAGCTTAATGACATGCTCATAATACAGTAAAGGTAACTACCTTTTATCCATCAGAAAAAAAAAAAAAAAAGCATAATAAACAACTGCTTCCAAGTGCAGAGAAATTACTAACTGCTTTAAAGAGAGGGCAAGTCTCATGTGTCAAAAGTAAAGTTAATGTTAGCTACTATTTTGTGAGTGCGGATGAATGATTGGTATGGACTTCTGATTCTAGGACTGATTGCTTAAGATAACACCAGTTCAAGAAAAAAAGGTGAAGATTATTCGTCCAGGGAGGCTAAAGACTGTATTTTTAGTATTGAGATGAAACACAGTTATGCTGTATAACAAAGTACGTGTGAGTAGGACAAAAATCAATGTTAAGACTGTAAAAGAAAGCACATAGAAGAAGGCAGTACATAGAAGAAACATGGTGATGTCCTTTTATGTGACAGCTGGGAGACCAACACTATTGAAATGTTTGGTCCATCATTTAAAATAGACATTAAGATGCTTGCCTGGCAAGATTATGGAACAGATCATCCTAAGCACCATCAAGTGGCATGTAGAAGACAACCAGGGGATCAGGTCCAGCCAACATGGGTTTAGGAAAGGAAGGTCCTGCCTGACTAATCTCATCTCCTCATCTCCTTCTATGACTGGGTGACCCACCTAGTGGATGAGGGGAAGGCTGTGGACATGGTCTAGCTCAACTTCAGCAAGGCCTTTGACACAGTCTCCTACAGCATCCTCCTGGAGAAGCTAGCAATCCACAGCTTTGACAGGTGCACCCTTCACTGGGTCAAAAACCAGTTGGATGACTGGGCCCAGAGAGTGATGGTGAGTGGACCTGCATCCAGCTGGCATCCTGTGACCAGTGGTGTCCCCCAGGGATCAGTGCTGGGCCCAGTCCTATTCAACATCTTTACTGATGACCTGGATGTGGGGATTGAGTTCACCCTCAGTAAGTTTGAAGATGACACCAAGCTGAGGGGGAATATGGGTCTGCCAGAGGGCAGGAAGAAACTGCAGAGGGACCTGGACAGGCTGGGTCAATGGGCTGAAGCCAACGGCATGAAATTCAATGGTGCAGGGTCCTGCACTTTCGCCACAACAACCCCAGGCAGGGCTATGGGCTGGGGGAAGAGAGGCTGGAGAGCAGCCCAGCAGAGAGGGACCTGGGAGCACTGGTTGACAACTGGTTGAACATGAGCCAGCACTGTGCCCAGGTGGCCTGGAAGGGCAATGGATCCTGGCTTGTATCAGGAATAATGTGGCCAGCAGGAGTAGGGAAGTGATTGTGTCCCTGTACTCAGCACTGGTGAGGCCTCATCTCAAGTACTGTATCCAGTTCTGGGCCCCTCATTTCAAGAAGGACATTGAGGTGCTGGAGCAAGTCCAGAGGAGAGCAACAAGGCTGGTGAAGGGACTAAAGGGAAAGTCTTATAGGGAGAGGCTGAGGGAACTGGCGTTGTTTAGCCTGGAGAAGAGGAGACTCAGGAGGGACTTTATCACTCTCTACAACTACCTGAAGGGAGGGTGTAGTCAGCTGGGGGCTGTGCTCCTCTCCCAACCAACTAGCAATAAGACAAGGGGGCATGGCCTCAAGCTGCTCCAGAGCAGGTTCAGGTTGGATATTAGGAAGCACTTCCTCACGGAGAGGCTGATCAGACATTGGAATGGACTTCCCAGGGAAGTGGTGGAGGCACTGTCCCTGGAGGTGTTCAAGGAAAAGCTGGATGTGCCACGGTCTAGCCAATGTGGTGATGTTAGGTCATAGGGTGGACTTGATGATCATAAAGGTTTTTTCCAGCCTTGGTAATTCTGTGATTCTGTGATATGCTACAGTCAGACAATTAGAGGAAAAACAGCTGGACTTGATTTTTCAAGGCTTTTGATACAGTCCCCCACAGCCTCCTCCTAGAGAAACTGACTTGTTATGACCTTGACAAGTGGTCTATGTGGTAGGTGGGGAACTGGCTGACAGACCATACCCAGAGGGTGATAGTAAATAGTTCTTCCTCAAACTGGCAACCAGTCACAAGTGGGGTCCCCCAGGGATCGATACTGGGCCTAGTGACGTTCAACATCTTCATAAGTGACCTGGATGTTGGGTTCAAGAGCACCCTGATGAGGTTTGCTGACGACACCAAAATGAGTGGAGAGGTTGACACTCATATATAGCGTGTATGTTAGGAATATCTATTATTCAAACCTCCACTACTTTAAATAAAGATAAAACACTGTTAGTAATTTATGAATCTCAAGTCTAAAGAGAATAACTCTAGCTAAATCTTGTGGTATGTTACCTCAGTGGCCAAGAATGTTTGTAAAAGTAAAGGGAAGGATTCACTATTTATGCCGTTTCTCAGTGTTCATGAGGAGTGCTCTTTTTGGCCACACTGACAGAACCAAATACTGCAGCAGGGACACTACGTCCATGTCTTCTGTGAATACCTAACAGTCCAGTAAAAATCTAGGAGTGTTTCCTCACCTACCTTACAGGAATTTTAGAGTCCTGCAGGATTTACAGTACTTGACGTGCTGTAGCTACTTGTCACGCATTTTTATAAAGTAGCATGTTCCCCAGGAGCAGAGAAATAAACAGTAACTGCAGCTGGAGTTGCAGTTTTGGTGTCTGGGTAATAAATAAATACTCATTATCATTGTGGATTGCACTACAGATTTGTGCTTTGAAGCTTCTTGTTGATATGTTTTTTGTTGATTTTACCTTTGAAAACAGCAAAATGCTTATGCTATATGTCTGTCCTACTGAATTATGAAAACGTGGGTGATTTTACAAGAAGCAATGATAATATTGCAAACCAGTTGCTCTTCGAATCGAGAAAATTTGTGAGCTGGTATATTATACTATCAATAATAGATTACAATCTTAGATGACTGTCATCATAGATGATAGCAGTGATTCTTGCTGTATGTTTATCTATAAATAGCATGCCACTAGACTACAATTTACAATCCTATTATCTTGTAATAAAAGAATAAGAGGAGACAGAGTTAAAGTGAAAGGCTGTAAATTTAAAGTCAAATGAAAAAGTAATTTTTTCACACAGGGAAAAAGCTAACTATTGAAATCTCTGTCACAGATCACAGAACCAAGAATTTAGCAAGCTTAAGACTTGATTGACCATAGATATGTGTCTACAATAAATGACACTTGCACAGCATCTTTAGAAGTATTTTCTTCAATACTGTTTTTTACTTAACCAAGTAGCCACTTAAAACAGGTAGCCAGTAGCATTATGATGGTGTTCCAACAAATGAAGGGATTTTAAATGCTACTTTGCCAAAGTTGAGGAGATCTGGATGAAGGCTGCTAAAGTGGGCACATAAATCTACCTGTTAATGTTTTATGTTCCCTCTTGGAGCTCTGTTATCAGTCACTATGGGAGACTTACCTCAACTAGGTATTTCAGTAGCAGCAGTTCCTGGGCCGTTCTGCACCTATCGCCAGAATCTTTCCCATTAGTGGTGTTCATCTCTCTTGCTCTCTTTTTGCCACAGATAGGGCCTTTTGGCTTTTAAGCCTTAGCACAAATTAGCTTGAATGTCTTCTATTTATAAAAGGGAAACGGTGTCTTCGGGCTTGCAAGAATTGGGGGGTGTGTGTTACTATACATCTGTTGTACACTTCATTGCAGGGATTTGAGTAGAATGGTTGCCTTTGGAGAAACCACTTAGTAACCAAAATGGGTTATGCAAAAAGCAGCTGGCTTGCACAGAGAAATGAATTGTAGCCATACTTGCTTATTTTTTGATTTCTCTTATCCTTATGCCTGTTAAAACAAATATTAATGGAGATTATAATAACAAACTAAACTGGGGATGCAGTAAACCAACATATCTGTATTGACAGGACTCAGCACTCCACTCCAGGTTCAAATTATAAAAAATGCTTCCTAGCAGAAATGAATGAAAACCTCTTATTTTATACCTAATCATGAGAAATAACTGATGCAAGGAAGAAATTTACCAAGAACTTTTCTTAATTTAATTCAGAAAATTTGGATGAAAGTTGGGAGTAATTTGTTAGGGTAATGTGAGAATGTCAGCATTACGTGACCATTATTTTGAAGAGACATTGTGTGACACCAAAAAAAAGGTAACACTGACTGAAAGGTATTATATTTAAAAAGAATAATAGGACATGGAGGTTGATGTAGTACAAAACCAAGCCATAAAAGCAATGGTTATCCATAACAGAAAATAGAGCCATTTGGAAAACTATATGATGGATGAAATTGAGAACTCTTTTCTTGTGTGATCTCTGACAGCTATTACATATCCTTGATAAAAACAGGAACACAGTGAAAATCAATTGTTTGCATATCTCTCATCATGTGAGATTCAGTAAGTTACTGGCTTTATCATACCTCAATTTCCATCCATGAAAAGTGACCAATAAAACTGGTCAATATTGTAAGGTAATTTGAAATCTGTGGAAGAAAGCTTTAAGGATGTGTTACACAGTTATTTTAACTTTAATTGAATCTGCTGTCTTCAAAGTTTAAACTGTGCTTGGGTAATTTTAATAGTGAATGGCAAATGATTGCAGTGCTAACGAAAGTACATTATGAGATATTAACAAAACTCTTAAGGTGTTTATTTTTTTTATTTAGGGTCAAGTTGTTTTCAGAAATGGAGAGAGGATGGGAACCATCAAATTTACACAATTCCAAGGTAGGTTGCAAACAATTTAATTTTCATTATATTTATTTATGCAGTTTCAAACTTGTATATCAATTGATTTTGTTTCAGGATGTTTTTAATATGTATAAATATTTTGAAAAGGAACTGCTTGGAAGAAGCCACAAGATACTTTAAATGTTTTGTTAGCTGTTTAATATACCATGGTTTGAACCCTGGGTGCTCTGAGGTATTCCCAGATATTTCCAATAATTTTTCTAGAAGAAAATCCAGATACTTACGGAAACTACTGATCTGTAACAGCCAACAGCTGTTGGAAAATCTCTACTGGTCGGCTAAGCATCCACTTCTTAGTACAGTCGTTTCTGAAAACCAGATCTGAAGAGGAATTTAGAGAGGATTTTTGCTGTTAAGCTCTTTCAAGTTAGTGTTTGTGCTCTCTGAAGACTAATTTCCAACATTCTGGAACTGCTTGCTAAAAATTGTATCAGGAGTCAGTCCCTCAGTGTGCAGAGAACACAAACTGCTGGCCCCATCCCTCAGAGGCAACACACTCCACAGAGCAAGTCTGCTTCATCTTCTCGGTCTGGGCTGCTCCTGCAGGGAATGGTCTCCACAGCAGAGACCACAAATGCAGCTGTGAGGATTTGTGAAGGGTCATTTGCAGCTGGGACGAGGTGCTTGCTTGGAAGTTTTCTGCAGAAGCGGTGATTCATAGAAGACTTGTTACAGCTTTTTCTACAGTTCATAGAATGTAATTCATGGTTTTGTTCCTAGGCTGAGGCTGAGATAAAAGTGGAGAGGATTGCATTTGGATGGTCTCGTGAGAGTGGTAGTGAGAAAGCTGGCAAATCCTTTTCAGACAATGTATGAGAAAGAAGCTTGCACTCCCTTTGTCTACAGGAGATTGCTTTAAACATAATCCTGCTGACCAAGTTACAAAGGCTGATCCCTTAAACAGAAATTGTCTGCTGTATGGGCATTATTATTAATGAACAGCTATGTACTTGTGGGTATCTGTTACTCATTCTAATTTACTGAATCAATTTTTGGGATTGCTCTTGCCTTCACCACTCTAACTGATCCTATTAACTCATGTTCCCTGAAGAACCCACTAAAACTTTGCAGATGTCATCTCATGGTAATATAATTTAGAAATTCTTGCTCAACCCTAATTATAAATACCGATTGCTTTTTGCTTCTTCTTCCTTCTCCTCCAATACCTTCCCCCCATTTTTTCACAGTAGCAGCGTTTACAGTTACATGAAAGAATCATGAGAAAATTCTGCCAGGGGAATTTTACAAGGGGCGTTTATTTGTCAGAAGTCTGAAGGAGCTCTTATGCATTATGCCTCAGGCAGCTGTGTGTACCCTTCTAGAGCATCTGAGCAAGGAGGAAGTTTCATGCGTTCCCTCTGTGTGTTAAGGATGTGATTGGGCATCATGGGGAGGTGCAACATGTGTCTTCTGAACTAATCTGGATGAAGAATAGAAGTATAGGATAACTGATTTCATATAGATTTTCATTTCCAACCATTGAAATTGAGCTTATTTATAATGTTTCATTTTCACATCAGATGCCATTTAATATAAATGGTTTTACCATCGGTTGAATTACTGTTTGGTCAATAAGAACACAGGAGACAACTGCTATTTTTTAATACCTTTCAATTAGAACATTACGATTTCAGAACTGATTTAATCACATATTTGGAATTCTGTTCATCAACCAAAGGTTTCCAATTAACCTACAGGAAAAAAATAACCTGGGAGTCCTATGATGAAATGCAGATGAAGAGCTGGATTTTTTCTCCTGCAAGCAGCAGTCTGTCAATACATATGAAGCCTGGTCTTAAGTGTGGTTTAGTGTCTTATTACTGTTGGAAATTAAAAGAGTGTAGGAAAACTAGATGAGAAATGAAAATAAGGAGCAGTATAACAATGTAGGTGAAAGTAATCTGTCTTTTTTTAACTACAACTTACGTTCTAAGTATTAATATTTTTTTTCTGTTAGTCTGTCATCGGTATTGTTTTTATTCAAGGCTCTTACATTCAATTTTGTGGTATAATTGTAGAAATTATTCATTTGTTCAAAATAACTATTGGTTAGGAAGCTTTCTGAAACATTCACATTAACTTTTAATAAATCTTGGACTATTGGGAAAGTTCCTAATAGTGGAAAGAAGTTAATTAAATCCAGTACTTAAAATGGTAAATGGGCTTTTTTTGCTGTTCCTCATTTGCCAGGGTAGGAAATCAACTGGGTAGACTCAGGAGCTTAATTTTCTGTTCTTTGCTGGAAACTTTTGTGTTAATGAGACTATCTGCAACATTTTGGCTATGGAAAAAGCAAACAGCCATGTCTACCAGAGGCAAGGGGAAACCAGCCTTTGAGGGTTGTGAGGGTAACTGCCTGACACGATGTGATGAAATGTTGTATAGCTGGTTTAATTTTGAATCTAGGTATATTTTTTCCCAAGCTCCCACTAGTCGTGTCTCCTTTTTAGCTTCGGTTAGTTTTGCAAGTGGTCAAAGAGATGGTGCCAGAGATAGCTGTGACCGAACTACTTGCTGCTTTATAGATCATGACTATCACCCAGGAATGATTTGATATGCAGCACAGGATACAAAGCACATGTAACAGTGGGTTTTATCCCTTACCTTACTGGCAAATGAAGAGCAGTCTATCAGTCTAGCTCAAATATCCAAGTGATGTTTGAAGCTGGCATCCTTCCAAATAAATAGCAATTTTTCCATAGGTGCAATGAAAGGACTATTCTCCTTTTTGAACATGTAATGGAAGTAGATGGCCAAAATCTGTTGGCTAGTGAGAGCTGAAAGAGGGTCATGGCAGCTGTTGTGTGCACATCAAGGAGAAGGGAGGGCAGCAACAAAACTGAGATGGTAGATTAGTTTGATAGAGGAAGCTGCAAGAACAGATACATAACTGTCCTTCAAAGTGTTTCTCTTTGGCAGATCTTTTCTGATTAATCAGACTGGAGCCTAAAAGGCACCTTGCTTTCAGTCATGTTCCTATTTCTGTCAGGCATTAGAGAAAACCTAAGAGATTTCTGTGCTGGAACAGATTCAAATGGAAAATTAAAGGTGAATTGTAAACAAATGCCATTGAAATGTGCATAAATCATGCTTCTTGTAGATAGGAACAAAAATCTATAGTACTTCACACTGAAAAAACTTAAAGAAAGTGGATGGTCACCTGCTGTGTGTTTCTGAAAATAATTTGTTTCAGCTCATTTAGCCAGGTAATATGGGGCTACATTTGTCAGTGTTGAAGACTGATCTGGGTAACAAGCAGAGTGGGAACATGGCTTGTCAAGTGTAAAACTGTTGATCTTCTTAGAAATTCTGGAGTAAAAGCTCCAGATACTCTTATCTGAGTTTAATCAACAGTAACGGAGAACCAAATGTCTACCCTACAGTCAAGAGCAAAGTAAACGAGAATCTAGGGTTGGTTTTCTGGAGCCTCAGTTCATCTACTCAGTTCTGACAAGAACTAAGCACCTGTCCACAGCTGCTTCAATGAAGGAGCAATTCTCCAGAATCACCTACAGCTTGTTCTCTAGGGGCATCAATCCAACCCTGGAAAAGTTTCCTCCTGTTGTACGAAATACAATCCAGCAGACTCTTAACTACTTTTGATTGTTGCTTCTGTAAGGGTTCATATAAAAAATGAGACTAATTGACTTTGAATTTTTATTTTTTTATTTAGCATCTATCCAGTATATATCCCACAGAATCAGTTTGTGGGTTTTCCTTCTGTGATAATGTAGAAAGAATGTAATCCAACAAACAGGAAATATTTAGTGACATCTCTGAAAATTCAGTTTTCAAATATATCTGGAATCTGTGGGATCAAGTATCCAGAATCAGTGGATTCAGATGTTTCTGCTTGTACAGCATATTTACAAGGTGAGAATAAAATATCCTTATAAATACTTCAGCATAGCTGAATATAGGGGAAAATATAAATACTTTGGAATAGCTGAATATAGGGGAAAAGTGAGTAGCTAATTCTGCCAGCTAAGCAGAATTTGAACAGTGAACAATAAATAATCACTAGTATCATGTAATGACCAATAAAGTTGTAAAACAAACTGCCAGGTATTTATCCTGGGCAGCTGGATTCTTCTGGAAAGGATCACTCTGTCATTAAAGACTATCATTTTGCACATAAAAAGGGAATTTTTTAATTAAGGAGTCAGAAAGCTTAGTTCTGACACATCCTTACTGGAGTGCTTGACTGCAATCACAAAAATGTGTGTGGTAGTCTTCTTGGTGGACTGTATATAGTCCATGTTATCTGAACATGAGTAGTATAGTTAGCCATTCATATCTTCATAGAATCATAGAATACCAGGTAATCAAGGATCTCCTGGTCCAAAAGGAGATCTTGGCAAAAGCACCGTCTAGGTAAGGTGGCCCATCACCTTGTCCAGATGAACCGTAAAAGTGTACAGTGTTGGGGAACCCACCACTTTCCTAAGAAGATGATTCCAATGGCTGATTGTTCTTATTGTCAAAAAATTTCCATAGTGAGCACTGCTGGTTTTTTTTAGCTTAGTGATCAATTAATCCTCTTGAATTAGGTCTGTTAAACAGTGCCCTTGGTGGTTTGTAGCAGTGCCCTGCACACCACACTCATGAATCCCCCCTCAAATTCCCCCTGACCTCACCCTGAACATGCTTTTTCAGCTCCAGGGCAGTTAGTGGTGACTATATGGAACCTTTAACAGGTCCCTCCCAATGGGAATTCCCATAAATAATAGTTTTCTGCGTGCTATTAGATGTTTCAATACCAGTTCATCCTGATATTCTGAACTGTGGTATACAAAATCCCACTGGTGCTCTCCTGTCTTACAGCTCCTCCTTTAGAAGGCTCATTCAGTGAGTATTTTAGGCATTGCATTTCAGTCACACTACCCCTGCAGAACACCACTAGTGCCACTTCCCTCTTTTGTTGGCAGTGTCTTGTTTTAAGCAATTTGTGATGGTATCGTCTGTATGAAACTACA